TGGCATGTTAGATAAGTCACAGTATTTGCAAGTGGGGAAAATAGTCATTTTAGACTTTCACATTTAAATTAGATCCTTCAGGAGAGCAGAAATTAAATCCATTTCTCTCTTTAAGAAAAGGGCAACTCTGTAAGAGACTATTACTGAAACAAGCTGAAATTCAAAAACAAGCGTAGGTCTTCGAAAAAGCATGTGAATTTCTAAAATACCAGTATACGTACTATGATTGAAATCACAGGTAAATTTAATCCATTATATTTGAGAGCTTTGTTAACAGCACACTTGAAAGACTGACAGGACTGATTAAAATTCAGGCCATTGTTTTTTAAATTAAAATACAGAAGCTTCAAAAATATGACAAAGTTATATATTAGTCTATAGGTGTGTTTTCTGGAGTAGATGATGGAACAGATATTTTGAAGGAAAGCTGAAAGGTTTCTTTGTGTTTGTGTATATATATGTACATATATATTTTTTATTTTGATGAAAACCTCTTGAGCTGCTTCGATGCAGACTATATTTCTGTATCTGTTATGTCTGTAGAGCTGTGGGAAGGGTGAAGATGAAGCCAGGGAAGGAAAGCAGCAGCGGAGCACACACAAAACATGAGGCCACCTGGCTTCTTGCCATCCTACATGACATTCAATTATTTTAGTACTTTTTCATGAGAGTTTTCTCTCCAGCCAGCTTCCCCTCCCCTCTCCAGACTCCTGCTTTTCTACATTTGTCATAGTTCATCTAATTCAGCACGCATTTTTCCTAGCTTTACTTACTAGTATGCCTCACACTCTTGCCAAAAAAAGAAAGGGCTAAGATGAAAATTCTTGCAATCCTATCTTGACATTCCCACTATTACTATATAAGTGTGACATTTCTTTCAAGAAGTTGAGAAAGGAACCAGAGTGGTGTACACATTGCTTCAACTGTTGCTTTGATGTATGTACTCAAAATATTTTTCATTTCCCAAAATATAGTCTCATGGGGGAGGGAGGCATCAAAAGCAACTTTCAGACCATGAGAATTTTTTTTAATGTAAAATAAGTCAAACTGACAGCCAATCCCTTATCTGAACTTGACTTACCTGAAATTACCTTTGTATGTGGGGGGGGGGAGAGGAAGAGTCAGTCATTTCAGTGGGCTTTTAAACTAGTTTTAATTTAATTACTTTAATTCTAGGCTCTAAAGGGAACTAAATAAAGAAAACTTTAAACACATCCCAATCACTGTGTTTGGCGAGCTGGCACCTAACAACAACAGCAGGAACCACCACAAACTGGTTGCAGGAATGTTAAATGTAACTTCAAATCAGAACATCAGAGTCACTTCACAAAACAGCCTTTCCACTGTGTTAGCATCCCTGGTGCCAGAGAAATGAGAAAACAGTGTTGCAAAGAGGCTGAGACTTGAACCTGCAATAGGTCATGTTAACCCTCATCCTTTTGCTTCCTGGACTCTGCACATTCCTTCCTGACTCTGCCTCAATCCCATCAAGGAGATGTGAAGAAGCATCAGTAGCTGCACCCTGGGATCTGAAAGTGCCAGCATCCTAGAATGTCCTAAATTTTGTTAGGATTTAAAAGAAATTGATGGCTCCCCATCTCTGTCCCTCTCCTACCCCCACTCTCACCCCACTCCCACCACTTCCTGCAAGTGCGTTTTGCCAGGTAGATTTCTTCACTAACATGAAAGATGGGGAGCTGAATCCTGGATTTAGAACCCAGGTTCCAGGTATGGAAAGTGATGAACAATTCTCTCGAAGGAGAAATAGAAAGGTGGAGGAAAGAAGGGAATGGTAGCCTGCGGGTGATAGACTGAGTGTGCTGAGATAAAATCCCAATTAGAACCTGGTTTAATAAACTGGGTCCCTCTGGCCAGCCATGGTTCCTCCAGGCACTGCACCCTGGGGCCCTAGCCATGCTGACCCTTTGGAACTGGGGAGGCTGGGATGAGGAATGTGGATTAGAAGCAGGTTTTTAAAGCCTGCTGAAGAGGAAAGAGCCATGTAGGCTCTGGATAGAGTAGCTGAAAGTATTTATCAAAGTGCTGTGGTCAATTTCCAAGAAGGTTATCCTCAAAGCACCAGGCAGAAAATGCCCAGGTAAATCTCAGAGAGGGCAAGACACCCTCCAATCCAATCAGCCTTCAGTTTCTTCTCCCTTCCTGTGCCTTCCAGAAATCATTTAATTATTGTTGTTTTAATTAGTATTATTTTAAATTTATTATTTAAGGCTCCAATGGTTAGAGCTGTGACATTACCATAAACTCCATCTCAACCTCTCAGAATCCATTTAATGCAGCTCTTGGCAACCAGAGACCCAGCTTCTTGCCAAAAACTGCAGATTAAGCATTCGTTATGGGAGTTTGCCATTAGCTGTTCCCTATGTTTTGGGCACATGTGGTTACATGTCCCCAAACATACAGGACTCTGTGTAATAGATTTGCATTTCCAAGAGGCTCCAGGGATATTAAGTGGGGTTGCACCATCCCTTGCACCCATCCCTCCAACCACTTGCACCCATCCCTTGCACCCATCCCTCCAACCACTACCATCAGAAGTGGGGTTGAGGTGTGGGGTGGAAACGGGTTTACTAGGCAGCTGTGGACCCTGGCTCTTCTGTAGCTTCCTCTGCGAGCTGGACCTTTATTGGTTTACAAGTACTCTAGAGCTTGCATCATATGTCTTTCATTTAAGAGACACCGAATGTTTTTCAGGGAATTCAGGGCTCTTAAGACGCATATTTATAAACAAGCTGACAGAGCTCTACGAGGTAACTAAGTTCATAGTTAGGAGTTGTTTGTGTATTTCCTCAAGTCAGCAAGGCGTTGTTCTTGCTGCTGTGAATTTTTGAAAAACCTATTAAACGACCATTTCTCTTATCCTCCCCGTGTCTATTAGAGAAAGGCAGGCTGTCAGAACATCTGAAGGTAAGGTACAGAAGGGGTTAGGAGAGAATCAAAAATTATCAACCCGGATAACAGTGAGTGGATAACTCGACTTCCGACATTCCTGTAGGGATGGCCCAGGAACAGCTAGAAAGTGCTCAGGAAGCGCATAGCTTGCTCCTTCGCCTTAAGCATGGATAGGATGTACCAGAGCAACCTCTCGCCAGCTTTTCCTTGGCCTTCCTCCCGCGTACTCCACCCCCGCAGCACCCCACACCCCCCATCCGAGGATGCCAAGCTTGGAGTTCGCGAGCCTTGGTGCAGTCTGGAATTCTCCCTGAGCCCAGTCCCTGAAAGCTTTCCGCCCCTTTTGAGAGTTAACAGTTAGTGTTTGGTGCCGGCTGCACGGCTCCGGAGATAGTAATAATACAGCTAAAGTTGTATCATTCAGGAATGGTGTCAACTCGCGAGAACCTGAGTGCGCGCTCAAGGCCGTGCAGAGCGCGGCGCCACGTGAATCGAGCTTGTGCCCCTGCTCGGGAGAAGCGTCTTGGGAGAATGGAGGCTGCTGCTCCGGGGCGCCTTCTCGGGTCCCACCCGGCCGGATCTGGGTTTAGGACCGGCCCCGCTTCTTGGGCAGTGCTGAAGCGCCGCTCTGAGGTGCGCAGCGCTCCGCAATTCTTCCCCAGCTGCGGCCCATGCTGGCCTCGAAGAGGGTCTCCCAGTGAGTCCTAGGACAGCCAACACCCCGAAGAAAGTGGAAATTCCCGAGCCCATCCGGAGGCTCGCCAGAATTGGGCTTGGCCTCGCCACCCCTGCGTCGGGGCTGCCCCGCGTGCCCAAGGCCGCGGGGTGACTGCCCGGCTGTCCTGGGGAGACGCTACGGGCGCTGCAAGGGCCTGTGCGAAAAAGGCCGTCGGGTAGAGGCCTCCCTTGGAGGGCGCAACCCGTAGTCCCCAACTTGTGGAAGTTTTCACCCTATTTGCCAGTTTAAGAGGCCTGTTGCTAATGGCGGCCTTTCCTTGCCCAAGGCGCTGAACGCTTTTCCTTCCGACGCGGCGGGCTCCTCCGAAACCAAAGGCAGTCCCGAAGCCTCACAGAGGAGCTTTCATCTCCGCAGTGCTGCCTGCCCTCAGGGAGCGGCCAGATCCCCAGCCTCCCACCATCCCCTCGGGCTGGGACCGGGGTCCTGGCCCAGCTCCGCGCGCGCCCGTCGCTCCCCGAACGCGCTTTTCAAACTCGACCGCGACCATTTAAGAGTAAAATAATAATCTTTTGAAAACCACCCTGAAGGCCTTCCTCGTACTTAAACCCCTTTGTGTAACGAACCTCTCTGGCCTATACTAGGGGCCCTTAGGAGGTACTTTTCCTATCGGGGTTTCTTAAAATAATCTGGATCTAATGATAAAATCGTGGACCAAGGGGAGGGGTGGAAGAAGGGTGGGGAAATCAGGTTGGTATCGGTATAATGTTTTCAGTGCCTCTTGCTCGGCTTTCCTCTCCCATTGCCACCACATCCACACGCCACCGCATTCCAGAAAGAAAGAAAAGGCCACGAGTTCGTGAGCGCCAAGAGCCCCCGGACGCCGAGCTCCTCGGGATTGTAAGGAGAAGCGGCCCCTCTACCACGGCCATCCCAGTTAATAGCTGCCAACGTACCCGGCTTCTTGGGCTTCGGATCAATGTGGATCTTCCACATAAACGATTTACGGATGAAGTAAAAGCCCTTTAGAGCAGTACTTCCTTTCAAGTTCGTAAGACGCCTCTAAATCTTTCTGGTAGTGAGTGGCCGGCGTGGGGGTGGGGTGGGGACCGGGTGCCGGGCGGGCGGCCCGGGAGGGCGCAGAGAGCGGGGAGTGGAGGGTTAACTGCTTTGCGATCTCACCGAGCTCTTCCGAAATGCCAGTCCACTGTCGCGACGGCAATGTTTCTGGGTGTCGTGGCCTCATCCCTGATGGCATTTGTCTGAAATGGAGCTGTCTGTCTAACCTAGGCCTGGACGCGCCCTTCCCGGGTAAGTGGGGGAAGATGGGGGTGGGGTGGGGGCGGAGGGGAGTCCGGGGTGGAGTTAGTCGCCTGCCTATTTTCATATTCATTAGAACTGGGAGGTTGCCCGAGGAGCCCAGCTGAGTTTCAAGATATAAAAGCAACTTCGGGTGCCCCCTTTCCAGCCGGGACGTCTTAAAGGGCTCGGAGCCGGGCAGCTCCCCGCGCCGCAGCGCCTGCTTCCCCTTCGCTCCTCTCTGGCCCTCCCTCCTCCCGCCCCCTCGCTCCCTCCCCCAGCGCGCTCCAGCCTCCGAGCTCCAGTAGCTCCGAGACAGCTTTCCAGGATTATGGAGTTTCTGAGCGAGAAGTTTGCCCTCAAGAGCCCACCGAGTAAAAACAGTAACTTTTACATGGGCGCAGGAGGCGCGTTGGAGCACGTTATGGAGACGCTGGACAATGAGTCCTTTTACAGCAAAGCGTCGGCGGGCAAATGCGTGCAGGCCTTCGGGCCCCTGCCCCGCGCCGAGCATCACGTGCGCCTGGAGAGGACCTCGCCCTGTCAGGACGGCAGCGGTGAGTCCACTGCTCCAGCCGGGGTCGCGGAAGCCCACCCGCAAAGCCGGAGTGCGGGGAGTGGTCGGGGCAGGGAGGGAGGAAAGGAAGGAGAAGGAAGGAAAAAAGGAAGGAAGGAAGGGAGGAAGGAAGGGAGGGAGGGAGGGAGGGGGAGCGAGAGAGCTGGAGGGCGGAGGAAGGCAGTGGAACGCTGCTTATTTTAGGAAGCGGAGTTTTGGTTGCTGCAGAGCCAAGGAAGGAACCCGCACCCGGTTACTTCCGCGCGGTTCTCCTTTCGCTGTCCTCCACGGGTCCTGGAGTCCCTCTATCCAGGACCCCGCCGTAAACTGATAGGGCGCTAAATAGAGCGTAATTGAGTCAAGACAGCGCGCTTCCTCTGCGAGCCCGCCGAGCTGCCCAGGCAGGAGGAGCTGAAATCCATCACAGCTCGTTAGAGGACGTCACTACCGTCACGAATAAGAAAACTTAGGTGAAAAATGTTTTTTACTTTTCAAGACGCAACGATATTTTTCTTTGTGAAGTTAGAGGGTTACTAGATTAGCTTGTGGGGATCTGTGATTTCTACTTCTTTGGGTTTGCGATACAACAACATACATTTTTGTTAAACGCCAAATCACTTGAAATAGCTTCGGGCAAAGAATCTTCAATATAATCACTCACTCCCGAATTCTGCGTTGTCTATTTTTCTGACTCCACGTAGAAGTCACCTCAGAAGACTTTCGGAATGCTTCTGGATGAAATCTTTAACTTTGGATGGCCAAGTATCTCAAAGTCAAAATGTTATCAAAACAAACCATCTATCTTTTCTATCTTGTAACCCAATACAAACCTATTTTTTTTAGATCGCGACAGCTAAAGCAAGTTTACAATTCCAAGAGGACTTTTCCTTATCATTGTATATATTCAACAGTTAAGCTGTAAGGAGCGGGTTGTTTTAAAATAACAAACGAAATAAGTGTGAAATATTTACAGCAAGCCTGCCGCCCCCTATTCTAATGGTAGTTCAAAATCTGGCAAGGCACCGGCTCATAGAAGCTCCTTTTCTAAATACCTAGTACGCAATAAGCTTAAAAAACGACCTCGTATATTTTACTTATTTTGTTCAACGTTGCAAGTAACTTTTGACTTGCAAGGTTAAATAAAAAATAAAGGCGCAAACAATAGAGTAAATCAGTTAAATCTCAGTCATTTATTTAGGAAGACGCAAAAACAATTTATTTTAATACACTGAAGTTTTGGCTTTCTGGCTGTATTTCACATTGTAATATTTTTATTTTGAAATTTATAGAGGTATACATAAAGTTATTTCTATGGACAGGATTTTTTAAAAAATGGTTCTGAAATGTCCTCTGTTGACAGCTGGATACGACTCAATCATAATTTTTATTTAAATTGTCGGGATTCCAAAAATAAGAAGAGAAATAGGTGATTTTTGATACTTCATCAAGTTTTTAAAGAACATCATACTATTAGGAGGGATTTTAATAGGAAAGTATTAAGTAAGATAAATGTAGGCAACAAGCAGTCCGCTAAATTTAGGAAGTCTTTCTCCTGAGATGCCCTTACCCTCACGCCTGCTTCCCCTCCCCCATCCCTAATTACCGCAGTTCCCCATTTAACTCTGCCCGCGGAGACAAAACCGTATTGTTTGTTAATGTCCAGGCTCTTCTTTTGTTTAGTTTTACCTCACATCTTTTTTTGCCTAAATACTCTTCCGTATTTAAGTTACCTAGGTACTAGAGTTCAATACATTTGTATGATGATTAAAGCAGTTGTAAAAATACATCATGAGAGAATTTTAAGATAGACAGAAACGAAAAAAGTATAACAATTCATTGGAAATCATTGTTGTGGCAGGGCTGACTTAAAAAAATGCTTCCCGTGGCATTATGTGCCTCCATTACATTTGTGTGTGTGTGTGGCACCATATGATATATTTTCGTTTTATATCATACTGCCAAGCATGCACTCAAATCTGGAGGAAATCACTAAAATTAAAGCACCCCTAAACAGAATGCCAGATGACATCCTTGTAATCTTTTAATAGATGTTTTAATTTCCGTGCTTTACTAGTGGAAGAGTAAAGCTTTCTGTCTTAAAACATGTTTCATGAGTTAAGCATAAATTTGACAAATTTAGAAAGAACTGCAAATGAGTTTTTAACCTAAAGAAGTCTACCTAAATCTTATTATTTTCTGTAGGAAACACACACAGAAACTGATGGAAAATTCATTTTTTAACTTAGTAGGTCGCTTTTTGAAATAAAAAATGTAAATGCAGACATGATATACAGTTGAAATATTGGAAATACAGTAGGAAACAATACCATATCTTAAATCTATAGTCCATAGGTTTTGTGTGGAGGAGAAACATAACTTTTGAAAAGAGTTTGGCTTTTGGTTTACGGATAGTATTTAAAATTGAAATATCCTCTTTGAGCCATGTAAGTAGCTTACTTTTGTCTGCTGTGAATAAATAAGACATATTAAATTTGGCTCACTTAGATTTTTTTGAACTAGAGCGTCTTTTAATTTGATTATAAATTATGTGCATAAACATTACATTAATCCTGGAAAATAGAACTGTGTGTTTTGACAAATTATATGAGTTCCATGTACACATTTTTAGATGATTCTAAACTTGCCCAAAGTGAATTAATAATGTGATGATCAAATTAATACTGGCACAATAAATCATAATGGACCACTTGCCTGATGCTCTAAATTACTTCAACTTAAGTCCTTCATCCATGTTTTGCAATCCTGAGAACTGTTGTTTTCCCCCTTTGGGTACAGTGAACTATGGGATCACTAAAGTAGAAGGACAGCCTCTTCACACCGAACTAAATAGAGCTATGGACAACTGTAACAGTCTCCGGATGTCTCCCGTGAAAGGGATGCCAGAGAAGGGAGAACTGGATGAACTTGGGGATAAATGTGACAGCAACGTATCCAGCAGTAAGAAGCGGAGACACCGAACCACCTTTACCAGCTTGCAGCTGGAGGAGCTGGAAAAGGTCTTTCAGAAAACCCATTACCCGGATGTATATGTCAGAGAACAGCTTGCTCTGAGGACTGAGCTGACTGAGGCCAGGGTCCAGGTAGGAGCCAAATGAAGGCTTGGGTGTGTGTGTGTTTGGAGGGCGGAGTTGGAGGGGGGATAGTGTTTGATCCGTAGTTGTGTTTTACTACAAAGGAAGAAACCGATTCTCCTACTGAAGATGTAGAACGGTGTAGTATGTAAGTGTAGCATGTAAGTCTACTAAAGTTACTTTTTACTTGCAAAGGATTTGACAGCTCGCACACAAGTATAAAAGAAAAGAACACTTGAATTATTACATAGGCATAAAAACTAATGATTATTTTAAAAGAACAGAATATGAACAAATTTCTGATTTCAAAAAGTGATTTTTAAAGGACAAAAAACTAGTCATAGCTATCCAATCTAGTAATCTATGTATTTTGTTTTTCTATTTTATCAGCCGTTGAAGTTCTTTTGGGGTTAGATACCCTATATTGGTAACTTATTTGTATAGTGGTCCATACGTCTATAATTTTACTGAGGTTGGGGTTATAATAAAACAAGGAAAAATGAAGCAGTCTCACAAACTCCCAGTTGTTATGTATACCATAAACTATTTTCACTATACATAATTAAAGAAAGATCATATAGTTCATCTACAATTTTCTCGCCCCAGGAATTGCCAGTACATGCCCTTCCATTATAATTTTAAAAATCTAGATAATTTATATGATTTTTGCAGAGGCAATAGGAATAATAATCTTAAAGTAATTTTTAAATATATAAATTCAGTTAAATTATATCTATATGTTATATTCAAATTATAAAACTGGATGATTCAATATACTAAATTTCTTAATAATTTGAAAAAAATTTTAAAATACTGGGTAAAATTCTACCTCCTAAGTGTATTTTATTTTTACTAGCCTTGATATTCGAAACTATATTTTATTAGTTCCTAAGTAACAATAATTCAGGAGAATAACGTTTTTCTTTGTGTGTGTTTTTACTACTCCAAATAAAATAATTTGAATTTTGAAACTCCCATAAACCACTAGAATAGAGAAATAAATAAAAAATTTTTTCTGAGTGGAGTAATAGTATTCCTCCTGAAGATTGAGCCATTGTAAGGCCCTTATACATCAGTAAAGACAACATCTGGTGGTGCAGGAATACCAAGCAGCAGATTTTTGCTTTAGTTTGCGGAGACAAATGGTTACTTTATCTTAGTTCAGGAAGTAAATGTATAGAAAGTCAACGCTAAGGAAGAATTTTAGAACCCCCCACATGTGTGTTTTTTGGTCTTGTGTTCATATATGTAAATTAGTTATACTTGTAACCATAGAAAAATGTGTTTACACACACACAGTGATCAGCTGTGCACAAAGCATGTTTTCCCCTTATCATTTCAGCAAGTTCTGATTAATTTTTGTCTAAGAACATGCACAGAGAGCCAGCCTGAACCTAATTTACTCAGATGGTTCTCTTTTCTGCTTTTCACATCAGAGTGGTAATTGGCACCCATTTTAAGGAGACTGTCAAGGTCTTTTTCTCAGTAGAAAAGCCCTCATTACTAAATTCCCTCAGTATGCTCCTGCTGTGGAGAGAGCAAGAAAGTGTGTTCTGTTTTGCTTTGTTGTTGATGTTGTCTTAAGCCCTGAATATAGTGGATAATACACACTTCCCAGCAGTGTTCTAAGAAACCATCTGAACAGGTAGCTGTCTTTGCCTTCTTTTAATTGCTGAAAACTCTTCCAAGTGCCATCTTAAATTTGCAATACATGCTTACGCACCAAACTGAGTATTAATATGTCTCCATAAGTGTGAAGGTAAAGATATAAAAGATTAGAATTGAATATGAAAAAGAGTAAAAATTTCAAATAAAGTTTAATGAAAGGCTTTTTACAATTTACATTTTTATACTTCATTTCCAGCTTCTTTCCTAAGTATTTTATATTCTGAATATAGTTCTGTAAAGACTAAAGAGCTTCCTGAAAGCTGCTTATGTAAATTATACATATTGAATATCAAATTATACATATTGAATATAATTTTCTGTATAGAGAGCTGTATTAAAGAGAGCTTTAATACCTTAAAATATTAAAATGATGATTCTGGAAAGCTACAAGTGTGAATTAGTTAATATTTAACCCTCTGAGGAAGATAGGTGTTATAATGGATATTTCATCTATGCAATTAATTAGAGAGATTTGGAAGGCAGTTCAGTGACCCTGTAGAAGCCGTACTAACTCACAGGCTTTCTTGACAGTTGATTATATCTGCCCTGTTTCTTTTTTAATTTACATTACCCGTAAGTCTTTTAAATTGGATAAATGATTTTGAAGATTTTATGAGCATTTTCTATAAGAGAAAATAAGTAAGTGGTGTCATTTACATAATAAACAATTTGTATATTTTAAAACCATAGTTCAGCTTCAGATGATACCATTTTACCCAAAGTCTTTATCATAATCAATATAATATATAATCCTAATGGTTTTTGTTTCTAAATAATCATGATATTTCTGCTGATGCCATATGTTTTAGATATAATCTTTATGTTTACATTTTTCTAAGTTTTTCTAAGTCTGGGTACAACCCAGAAGAGCCAATTGTTTTGACAGACCCAGATATTAATTTGGTTATAGATTGGCTGGGTTAATGTTGTATACATAGCCCCAAACTAAAAAGTTATGAATGTCTTCCAGACTTGTAGCATTCTCTGAGAGAGGGATTATTATCTGTGATAATTTGAAGATACAAGGAATCTTCACGGTCATATAATCTAATTCTTTTTTATTTTCTGTAAATGAAAAAACAGAGGCTCAGATGTATTAAATAAATTTTTGAAAATGTCTTGTCTCTTTGTATTAAATTATATTGCCTCATGGACATGGCACTTGTCAGGGTAAAATAGAAAGTAAAATTTGTGGATCCTTTTCTAATATAAAAAAATTCCCTTTTTAGTAATTATGTTGACCTGGTTTACCTTTCTAATTTGAAGTCTTTGAACATCATATTTGCATTATCAACTATTCCTTGCCTAAAATTCTACTTTTTTAAAAAATTAGGTTTGGTTTCAAAATCGAAGGGCCAAGTGGAGAAAAAGAGAACGTTATGGCCAAATCCAGCAAGCTAAAAGCCACTTTGCTGCCACCTATGACATATCAGTTTTGCCAAGGACTGACAGCTATCCACAGGTATGGTAAACTGCACAGAACATTGAGAGGCATAGGTGTGGTTTGTATATTCTTAAAAGGGCTAGTATAAGCTTTATTATATCTAATAGCCAAGAATGAAATTTTTAATCTCCAAAAGAATTTTTCCATGTTTGTTAGATTTTTATTTTACTAAAATATTTATTTATTTATTTTAATTTATTTTTCTAGAGCCATTCATTTAAAAATATTTCAGGGTCTCTTCTTTGGTATACATTGAAACAACTTAAGTAGCATCATTCAGTAGTATGTCTTTTAATTTCTCTACTCACTCCCTTTGTTAACTTTTAAAATACATAAAGCATTGCTTGGCATGCTATCTCTGTGGCTGTTGTTTTATGAACCATACCATAACCTGGTGTCACATGTGGCCTGTGACACCTTCAGTTTCACTGAAAACCATCTTTTTTTCAGTTTTAAGTTCCACTTAAAACTATGCTGTCTTTTCAGCTTTGAATTTGCTCATTGTTTCAAGGAAACATTTAGCCCTTTGTGACATAAAACATATATAGAATTAGTACTGGACATAATTTTTTGAATGTATCATGTTAAGAAAGACTTCTTTTATAATGGGAGCTCTCATCTCATTTCAAAGAATATTTAGAAATTCTTTTTCCTATAATTTTTCCTTTTAATTTAGAGAGGGTTGTTTTTCATACTTTGTAATTCACATAAATAAATTTTGTCTTTCTAATTGGGTATTACTTTTTCCTAATACTGAATTATAATATTCAAAATTGTATTTGATACATGATAAAGGACATGTGTATTATAAGGAACTTTTAAACCATCTGTTATTTCATTCCTGACTGTTTAGTGATATGCATTGTAACAGACTACTTTGAAAACAAATATGTAACATATATGCTGGTAGAATACCTTGATAGTCCAGTAAACAAATCAGCTCAGCCCCAAACTTAAGGGTATTCGTTTTCTTTAACTGTAAATTCATACCCTGTGAGCATGAATTCAGTCCTTTAATTTCATGCTATCTTTTTGTTCTTGTGCCTTTCATGATTTTTTAAAACCCTATTTTGAGAACTTCATTCCTCCAGATAAATCCACCAAATTTATTAATGTAATATTATATGCAAACAAGAGCCTTAGAGATCACCTAGTTCAGTTCCTTCATTTTAGAAGTCAGGAAACCAGACCCAGATGAGGTAAAAAAAATTGGTCTGTGATCACACAAATGGTTCCTTAGTCTATAAAAGACTGTTACAGCTAAGCCTTGCCACTGCAGTTTGCCAGAAGACCAACATTATGGGTACCTTTTGAATAAATGCCCATACCTACCTTAAGAAGAATCTTGTTTCTTTCACTTTAAAAATTTTATCTTAAAGTAGCTCCTTTGTATTTTCTCCTATTTTAAAAGCATGTATATACTCCTGGTTACTTAACGTCACAGGGCTAATGAAATTTTATTCACCAAATATTTTGAGTGTCCTAGTTGAGTTCTACACAAAGTGCTGTGAGGATGTTTGTCCTCTAGGCTGTAAGTGCCGTGAGATCAGGCACTGCTATTTTCCTAGCTGTTAACACGACTGTAGCCCTTACTGTCAGGCACTGTTCTAACTAGGTTCCATATATTAACTCATTTAATCCTTACCACAACCTTATGTAGTAGGTGTTGTTGATTATTCCCATTTTTCTTATGAGGAAACTGAGGCACAGAGAGGTGAGGTATTTACTCACTTTCATTAGTGGTAGTGAACCCAGATTTGAGCAGAGCCAGTCTAGCTCTCAAGGGCAAGATCCTAACTCCCACAATAGACTGTCTCTCCCAGGGAATATGTTTGAATGATTGAATGATTAACTAATACCAAAGGAGCTTAAGTTGCATTATTCAAATTGAAGTTTAGCTCAGGGGAGCAGAGAATGTTCTCACAACCAGTGAAATAACAATTAAAAAAATAACGGAGATGGCATATACTGCATATAATTTTGAACTACTTGACTGTTGGTGACTTTAGAAATAATAAAGTCACAAATTATGAACTCTTTTCAAATGGACTTTAAACAGTCTTACTGATATGTCCCACAACACTTGACTGTGATGTGTCTTTTTTTCACCTTATTATTTCAATATTCATTCCTTTCCTTGTTACCATTTCTATTTGCCACTTTTCTGCTCCTTGCTTTTGGTTGCCTTATCTCTAACCCCCCTTTCTTCTTTAGTGTATAATAAAACATGTAGAATAGTGCCTGGACCAATTAAGCTCTATACAAGAGCTTAATGTAACAATATAAGTAGTCACCCTTTTTTCCTAAAACTATCTTGCTACTATGTTATTGTGCCTCATAGCTTGTGACATTAACGATTAGCAGAATGAGGTCACCTAGTAGCTCAGGCAGGAAAGGAAACGGTAAAATCAAATTATACATTTGATAGTCTTTTTCACTCCAACAAAGGATAAATTAAAAAAAAAATTCCCCTCACAGATAACAGAATTTGCACTAATTCTTCTTGTGGCTTCTCCATAACTTATATACATTGGTTACACCACCTCATAATTTAAGTATGGGAATGCAGAGATCATATGTTGAAGTTATTTTGACAGTGCAATTCATTAATAATGATAAAAATCAATACTGATGAATCCACACTACTTTTCTGTATTGGTAAGTCATTTAATGTTTGGTTACCAAAATTCTGAAATCAAGCATCTCCCACTCCCCACTGTAGGTATTGGATAAAGTCAGGGGGAAATTCCATTTTAACTTAAAAATATATGGTTGACATTTTTTAGTTTGTTTGAAAAAAAATAATTATGCAAAAATCATGTCTCTCAAGACTCAGCCTAAGGAAATTTTTTTTTTATTATGTGGCTTAAAAATAGAAGTTTATAATGGGAAAAATAGAAACTGAAATAGAGCCTAACCAACTCAATGCAGTAAGACACTGAATTTGGTTACTGTTACTAATTACAGAAAAAAAATTATTAATTACAAAATGTTGGAACTAGAAAATGTTGGCGGCAGGACAGAAATAAAGAATTAGCAATTTGGCAGGGAAACAAAAGCATACACAGAAATACATCAAAACCAGAAATGGTTCAAAATGATCTCCTTAAGCCTGCTCATAAAAATAAGCCTGTGTATCATAATCTTACCTAGCATAAAGGTATATGTATATAACATATAATGTTTATTTGTGAATAGTAATTAATATTTTCTAAAATGTTCTAAATACTTTGTTTCCACTGGTCTTCATTACACTATAGTAACAACAGCTGTAACAGTAAAAATAGTAACTACCAGTTGAGGGCTTATTTTAAGCCAGGCTTCCTTCTTATAGCCATTAACTCATTGAATTTGAGCCCAAGTTTCTTGAGTTTAGGAGTCCCAGGCTTTTTATGCAACATTATGTTGGAGTCTCCCTAATCCAATATGGTGTTGAAATAGTTCAATTTTGACCCTAAAGCATCGCATTACTTTGGTAAGGAAAAATGCTTTCATTTTTTAAATTTGTAAAATAATAATATAAAACATTTTAAAAATGTAGATACTTCTTAGACTGTTTAAGATATTCTTTTTCTTAAACTTACTCATCATATGTGATAGCAAACAAACAAATAAGTGAGTGCTGTGATGTCAGTAGTAATGTACTCTAAAGGCAGTATATTTTGATGTAGTGAAAAGCTGTTAGTTTTTAAAGCTCTATTTTGGGTCACAATATCAGTTGCTATTTGTCAACACTGTATAGCTAAATTAAATTACTTGATATTCTCCAACACATGATATTTTAGAAAAGAGTCTCCTTGCTTGTGCTAAGTCTGTTTCCCTCTATCCTGAATTCCCTTCCCTTCACCTAAACCGTATTTCTTCCATGAAGCCTCCTCTCAATTTTCCCTCAATCAGTGCATCACTTTCTCATTGACATTGTGGTGGATTGTGTAAAATGTCTCCCACACATTTAGAATGTAAAGTATTTAAAAGATGATTCAGTTCTTATTCACATTTGTATCATCACAGTATTAAGCAAATTATGTATACACTGAATAGATGTGAAAAAAAGTACTGGTTCACTTCACTATTCAGGAGTACATTATAAAACAAAAACTAGTCTATTTTTAATAAAACAGATGGTTTCTGAATCTCTGATATTAACCAGCTCTGTGGTCTTAAGCAATTAACTTTTCCTCTTTGAAAAGAATAGACTAGAAAGATTTTGTAGACCCCTTGCAGCTTAATTTGTTTTTCTTGCAGAGTTGTTTGCATTTTATCAAACAAATGTATGCCAGGTATTGTTTTAGGCACAGAGGTTATACAAATGATCCAGACAAAATCTCCTGCTTTGTGGACAGATTACAAACTAGATATTACAAATTCTTCAAACACTTCTTGATGCAAACTAGACCCAGAAAACCAAACCAATTAGAGACCTACATAATTTTGTCCTTGAGTTTAAGAAGCAAGCACATATCTATCAACATTAGATTCTAACTTGTTTCTAATTTATCAAAACCAAAGCTTTTTTTTTTTTTTTCCCGGTACGCGGGCCTCTCACTGTTGCGGCCTCTCCCGTTGCGGAGCACAGGCTCTGGACGCGCAGGCTCAGCGGCCATGGCTCACGGGCCCAGCCGCTCTGCGGCATGTGGGATCTTCCCGGACCAGGGCACGAACCCGTGTCCCCTGCATCGGCAGGCGGACTTTCAACCACTGTGCCACCAGGAAAGCCCAAAACCAAAGCATTTTTAAAATAATTAATTTTAGTGAATAAAATATTTTCTGTTAAGTTATAAACATTTTCTAGGAGATTATAGCAGCCTTCATTCTTAAAGAAGAGCTAATTTCATGCCATTAGGTTTAGTTTGGATTAAAAGTACACTAACTTTATCATTTACTAGCTGAGTAACTTTGGGTAAGTCTCCGGACTTCCTTGATCTTCAGAGTCTTTATTTGTAAGATTGAGGTATTGTTGGTGCTAGAGTTGGTGGTCTTAGTAGTGTAGATGATGATGATGATGGTGATGATGATGA